TTTTATTTACAATAATTGAATTTAATCCTCTTATTTGCTTATTTACATGGATTTAGCGTTTACGCCTGATCAATCTCAATAATTAATATAACCCTATTCAACATTAAAAGGATTCTTATTTATTCTATTTAAATTTATTTATCATTTGATTGTTTTTGGTTAGATAAAGAAAATGGTTTGGAGAAATGGAAATAATAACCTATTATTCTGTATTTATAAATTGATGGAGCTTGCCATAGTATTTGCGGTGACAATATTTTTATTCTTGAAGAAGAATAATATGATTATGATCAGAATATTCCTTGCAATTAATGTTAAATAACATGCTCTATTAATTGATAGAATGCATTAAGGGAGTTTGTGTTCTTGTGTCTAAGGATATAAATGGAAATACTAAATTTTAGAAATTAGTGTTAGTGTGTGATGATGGAGTATTAGTGAACTCAGAGAATATCTGTGAAGATATAAATAATCTATTAGAGGATGGATGCTATTTATGTTAATTCAGTTGTTAACAGGGGTGTAGCTTATGTACTAAAAATGGATGTTTATAATTTGATATCATTGAATGGAAATTGGATGAGTTATAAAACAAATGTGAAACTATATGTGGTGACGGAATTATAATGGAAAATTATGAAGAATGTGATGATTTAATTGATAAAAAGGGGTTCTAATTTAGATATAATTGTTAAGAGTTGTGCTTAATTTGCCAAAATTGTAATTGTCTACATTGTAAAGAAGGATGGCTTGTAAATTTGGATAAGTAGTGTTATTTCTTCTTTGGAGATTCTAAAGTTGTTGGTGAAGAAAAATGTGATGACTATTATTCCATAATGTATGACGGTTCTATCTTTCACAATATTAATGCTATTAATCATGTTGGAGTGCATTTTTGAAGTTGTACTAATTGTGAGCATGGATATTACAATCTAGGGTGAAAATGCCTTGAAATCTTAAAGAATGGACATAAAAAATGGAATGAACAACTCGATGATAAGCACAAGATGGTTGTTTTAATGGTATGTAGGATTGTCACAACTTAATACTATAAATAATTAATGATCTCGGACTCTGGAGATAGTTATTTATCAGACTATGAAGAGTGTGATGATGGAAATATTATTCTATATTATGGATGTCATTTATGTGTATTATAATGTAATTATTATTGTCAAATTTGTTAATTTGGAGCAAGATTTGAATGTTCAATAGTTTATTCCTTAAATAAATCCAAAAATAGCTTCAATAGTATTTTTGGAGTCGAAATTCTAAAGCATGATGAATAATGCCACAATCGTGATTTAGGTTCTAATGAAGTATGTCTGAGCTGTAAATTAGACTGTAATGAATTATGTACTACGTGCATTGATGTACAATGTTATGAATGCACTTCATTTGGATGGAAATTAGATTTATTCAATATGAATTGTTATTATTGGATTTTTTTTATTAATTTTGGTCAGTTATTGTTAATTTAGATTAATTCAAAATATAAATTGCAACAACATACTTGTGGAGACTTATTGGTTGTATAGAATGAATAATATGAAGATGGAATTATGATGCTGATGGGTGCATTGACTGCTATATTCGATGTTAAGACCAACTCACATTATGTCAATTGGGTTTTTGTCAAGAATTTAATGTTAAAAGATGGTAACTTATTGATGCAACATGTATATCAATATGTGGAGATAAATTAGTCTTAGGGTTAGAAGAATGTGATGATGGCAATTAGCTTCCATATGATGGTTGGTATGAATGCAAATTTTAATTTTCAGAGAATAATGTACTGAATGTTAGAATGGTGTTTGCAAAGCCTTTATTACTCCAGGGTGAGTTCTTGATCAATAAAACCGTTGCATTACTTTATGTGGATATGGGATCATTGTTGACCCTTTTGAATAGTGTGAAGATGGAAATGATAATCCAAGGAACAGTTGTTATTTGTGCGAATTTCAATGTTTAAAAAAGGTTGAATTGAGTGTATATTTTCACCTATTTATCTGAGACTCCAAATTTATTCATAATTAAATATGTATAGTGATTACAATAAAATATATTGTGATTATGCTAATTGTAGTTTTTGTGTTGAAATTGAGATCAAATTACATTGAGTATGCTTTAAATTTACAAAACTGCTGGCAATTATAATAAAGTACAATCAGAATTAGAAAGTTCAACACACATCAACATATCATTTAATAGAAATTTAACAAAATTATTGATATTAAATAATAATAAACTCAAAATTATTATTGATTGTTAATCTCAATAAAAGATGTCTTGCTATATGTATTTGATTTAAGAATAGGTCTTTTGGTAAAAGATCTTATAATAAATAAGAATATTACATTTCTTTTCCATTTCCATACTTACTTTATAAAATCAATTTCATTTTTTGAATATTCATTTATAATTTTTTTCTTTTTTCAAATTCTTAATCCACATAAATTCCAATGTTTTTAAACAAATTTATATTTGATTATTTCAGCACTGAATGGAGTTTCGTCAAAACTGGTAATTAATATTTTTTTGAATAAAGAATTAAAATGTCTTTAATAAAAGGAAAACTTAGTCGAATTAATAATAAAATCAAAATGATTTAAAGGAACATTGAAAAAAAATCATTTTGCAAAACCTAACTTTCATATTTGGTTGCTACAAGAAAAATGGCTATTAAACAAATTTACCCTGATTATAAATCTAAGTTATTAAATTTCGAAATAATATAAGGTTTATTATTGATAGCTAAGACTTAGTATGCTTCTACACAAATGCCTAATAAAGTTGTCTTTAATAACACATTATTTTCAAAATTAGTTATTACTAGTATAATACAAGTCTTCTATATCAACTTAATCTATTCCCAAAAATATGTCTTTTCACTGTATTCATTAAATAAATAGCAGATATGTTTTCTAAATTTTATCTTATCTAGGTTAGATCTATTTCGAAACATCAATAAAAATAATGAAAATGGAATAATGCAGCCAAAAATTAGTAATAGTGGTATGATAAGAAATTAAACCCACAAGTAGTGTTCCTAGCTATCAAATAATAATGAAACATCCCCTTAAATGTAATCAATATTTGATATTTATCTAACAGACAATTTAGAACATAACCTAATTTATTAAATCTTTCTTACAATTTGATTAATCCCCCATAATTAAAAACATATAAGCAAAGTAGGGTATTCGAAATGATACTCCTATCCATTTATTTTGATGAAAATTGAAAATAAATAAACGAAATGATAAGTATAAAATAGAATTGTAGCAGCATTAATAATAGTATAAAAATAATTTAAGCGTAAATTAAATGTATTTATAAATTTGATAAATAACAATCTAAATTATTTACCATAAAATAAAAGCTATTACTTGATTGTTCAATAAAGAAGATAGAAAATGAAAACCTGATATTAAAAGTAAATATTGATGAAAACGTCCATAGATAATTTAATAAAATCTTAATTAATATACCCTCATGATCTAATTGTAAATTGATAATTACCTTAATTTAATTTAAATAGAATTTTACTAAAATTCTTTTAAAAAACTGTAAGCTAGTTGAATAATGAATTTGATTTGTTGATGCTTTTAAGTGATAGTACAATTGATAATAATGCCCTAAGGTAAATAATATTCTATACTGAAATAAAGCAAATAAAAAAGGAAGGATGCTACTCTATTCATTTAAGCATGAAATACATAATAAATTTTATTGACTTCTAAAATACTACCCTTCTCCTCTGATATCGTATAAATCACACATTTCACATAGTGCACCTATGTGTCCTTTACCACAAGTGCTATCTCCAACTTACCATCCCCTTAAACAAAAATCTGTATTTTTGTAGCATTCCTCTGTAGCATCGGATAAATAATTAGGTCTCCAATATCCCTTTTGTAAGTTTATCATATTGGAAGTTACGTTTTAGAATTTGGTTTTATCAAAAATTGAACATTTTATTGCATCGTAAGTTACACTATAAAATCCTTGACTAGATTTGCAAGTCTAACACCCACCTTCGATATAAAATTCTCCAAGCTGGCATTTAAAACTTTTTGCATTAATTGTATAATTTGACCGTTTTTTGATTTTTCAGTTTTGCAAAATATTTACATTTCTAAGTGATTATTGTCTTTTTAATATGGGTCAAGTCGAAAAGATAAAGTATTTAATTCAAAATTATTGTTGGCTGACTTATATTATAGGAGATAATTTGAGGAAGATTTGTATTTTTCTTCCTTCCCCTTTGTTACTATGTAATCTGTAACTTCACAGATTGAATTATAAAGATTAAGGAGTAACTCCCCCTTACTATTTTTGAAATAAATGTTCATACTTTTGATGTATGTTAAGTAAGTAGCCTTATTGACAATAAATATTTAATACGTGTCGATTATTTATGTACTGGGAATCATTAGCATTTCTGTTTATTTTTTAATTCCTTGTTCCATTACCAAGTAAGGGGTTAATTTTAGGATGCTTGTTTAAATATTATTAATTGTTGATTCTACAGCAGGCATTGCTTTTGAATTTATGGAGAGTGACAAATAACTGGGGTTTTCAACTAGATTATTTCCATATACTTCAGCCTGATTGAAATATTTTGCATATATAAACCTCCACCTTAAGATTGTGCAATGTTAAAGAGAATATTACATTGGATTATCTTTAATAGAATATCATTACTCTTTATTGCAACTCCTTAAGTTCCAAGATTTTAAATGAAATTTGAATTTTTAATTTCAAATTAATTTGAAGCATTTTGATTTCCAATAATATTTAAACATCCATATTTTTTGATAATATTAGAATGACAATCAAATCTAATAATTTGTAGTTTCTTAAAATTGATTTCGTCAAAGTGGATGATTCCCTACTAGCTATTCGAATAATTATTATTTGTAAATTTGATCCTATCAAAGATAAAAACGCCTAAGTTTGACAAACTCCTAACATATAATATCGAGGATTGTTATTAGTTTTATTGTACCAAATATATTATATTACTGTAAAAGTAATTTCTCTATAATGATTGAACTGAAAAACTTTATATAGAACATCCAGAGATGAAATAATTGGTTTAAATTTATAAGTATTCTTAATTTGGCAAATTATTAGCAATTTACATGGATCCTTTTTCAAAAGATAAGGATCTTAAGGAAACTAAGTACTTTTATTATGCTGTTTAACTAATCACAATTAGATTTTATGTGTAGATATTCTCAACGTTGTAAAACTAGCAATTGAACATATTTAAAGTATTTATGTTATTTAAATTAAAAAAACTAGAAAACAACATGCCTTCAAAAAAAAGATTTTCTATAGTAGCATCACAATTCTCTAAATATATTATTGCATTATCTTTTCCAGTTATTTCTTGAATTTCAGATTCAGACAATTCTCCAATATTCTATAATAAATTGAACCAAGATTCTTAATTTTAGTAAATCTTTAAATCTATAAATGAAATGGAATTTTATTTATTTGCTTAAGTAATAAACTATATTTTCACGATCTAATTTTTTAATGAAACACAATCAACTATAGTAATATTTTAGAATATCAATTTATTTTCAAGTAATGAAGGATTTATTGTTATTATGGATGATGACATCCTATTAGGTATATTCGAAAATTTAGTATTTTTAATTTTAAGATTTAACAAACTATTCAGTGCATTAACACTTAAGCACCCTTCATTTTCAATATTTTCTTGAAAACTATTTCTCATTTACAAAATAGATAGATTTTACATCATTATTATTCCATCGCTTGAAGTGACAATATCAAAAACTGAGATTTTTGCAGTCGATATTTCCTCAAAGGTTGAGTTGATACATATAAAATTAGATGTTTAAATATATGCTGCACCCCCAATAGTTTTTATTTAAAATATCTATTTAATTAGTGACAAAATCTAGTCTTAACTCGCTTATATTAAATGATAATAATAATTCCAAATATTTAAAGGCAAAATATTATGATATTTTACCTAAATATTGTTCATTTTCAAATAACTCGCTACAACGTGAATAAATGAATTGGATGAGTTAGTATTTGCAATATAAATTTTCTATTTGAATGGTACTTGCTAAAGTAGAAAAGTAAAATAATGCTGCTGAATCCTTTAAGGAATTTTCATTATAGACATGCATAATATTATTTTAAAATTTTGCATTTTTAATTAGAATATCGAGGTTTCTATCAGAAATTATTGTAAGAAGTGAAAAATATATTATTGAATTCAGCGATTGTAGGAGATTTCCATAAAACTCAATATTTATTATTGTTATTTAACCTTGTTATTCTTAGAAATATTAGCTACTAGACATAATTTTAATTAATGATTCATCTATACTTTATATATGCTTTATTTTAAAATCAGATATAGAAACTTTATTAAACCCATTTATTGATATTATTTGATTTTTAAAATTTGAATTTTAAAAGCAGTTTGTTGAGACTGATATTTTTTCTTCAATTTCAGAATTCTCAAAAATAAAGTTTTCTAGTTCTATATCCTGGCTTTCAAAGAAATAGAGAATGTAAACCTTTTTAGTTTAATATATAGAAAAGTTTTTCAAAATAATAGTTTTGCCATTGATTTTGAACAAATAGCTGACCTGATTTAGAGTAATTAATCCTTCATTAGATTCAATATGTATATTGTCTAGCCTTATGAAAAGATCACTTGATTAAAATTCAGAAAAAAATCGAAACAAATCTGAATTTTGGAATTTGTTATTCCTTATTATTAAGTTCATTAAATTACAAGAGGCTAATTATTGGCTTATCATTTATATGGTTGACATAAATGAAGATTCAATAAATATATTGTTCTGTATTTGAATTAAAGTTGTCTTTAAACCAGAACTAAATCCAAATATAATAGAATCCAATAATTCATTGAAATTAAAGACTAAATTATTTGCAACACCATCAATCTATTATGAACAATAAAAGAAATAAGAGTGATTAAAATAAGATCTATATATTGATATGCTCAAAAGATATATTTGAATATCCAAAGGATTATTAGAGAAAAAATTAAAAATAGAGGAATTTTATAGTTTACATTAGTCCATAGTAATGTTGATGAATTTAATTGGTAATTAGATGTAAGAAAATTCAAACAATACTGAGTTAGTAAAATTACAATTAAATAAATGTAATTAATCGATTCTAATATTCCCAATTAAGTTAAATGCGTTAAAATTGAAGAGCGAAGAATTAATAAAGTTAGTATTGATTATAGTTATATTTTATAACTCTACGTAACCAAAGTTCTTTGTTTTAAATAAGGATTGAAAATTTTCAATTATACTATCCTTTATAGTAATGTTTATCAATGTGAAATTTACTTAATTATAACTATTACTGATATTAAGATCCTACATATTGAAGTGAGTGAAAACAATTCCATAGTCAATCATTGTAAAGGAATCGAAATCTTCGATGTAAAACGAATTCGTAAGTTATAAGTAAAAGGGATAAGTTGCTAGAAGTTTAAAATGTATAATTTATAAAGTAAACACATCAAATTTCAAGGAAGCGCTTATTCTTATTGAAGGCATGAGATTACAATATTCATCTTCTATTTTTATCCTAATAATGATGGTCATAGAAACAACTCCAATACTATTCAAATATTCTGCTTGAAATATGAGGTTATCTAGGTTTTGTGGAAATCTATTAAAAAAACAATTGTCTTCAATAAATTCATAAGTTAGTTCATTATTGCAATCACCTTCGAAACAATATTAGGTGGTTTTTAAATAGGGGTTGTAATTAATAAAAGGATCTTAAAAAGGGAACAAACAACTCTTTGTATATTTGGATAAATAATATATGGGTAAAAGAGATGGTGCCATTTTCTAATTATCATCAATACATATTTACTTTTAATTCTAAAGTATCTCGTCGTATGCAATATTAACAAAGTGGAGAACAATATTAACACATGTAATTTATGTCATTTACCTATAACTCTCCTTCTGATAAATAGCATTCTTCACAATAATACTCTCCCAATGAGAGCTTGCAAGTTTTACAAAAACTTCCGCATGGATATAATTTATGGGGTTCTTAATAATTATAATTATAATAAAAGTTAACTAAAAAACTTGTTACTTTCAAACTTCAGAATTCAATTTAATAGGAGGCACTTTATTCTTAACCTTCATAGCAGACTCCACCAAATAATATATAACCAGATTTACATGTTATGCAGGTTAACTTCTTATAGTAATCAAGAAAACAGATTTAACAATTGGTTATTAACAAATTGCAACTATTAATCTCTCTTGACACCTGGAAATTATCTAAGGAAGATGTTAAACATATTTCCTCATTTGTTAATTTAGTAACAGATATTACACAATTCTCGATTGATGAAGCATTTTTTAAACATATTCCAAGTTTGAAATTAAAGTTATAGTCTGTTTCACACAACATACAACCAATCTGTGTCTCAGTGTAATTTTCAGTTAAATCTTCAAGTTCAATACTAATGTCAAAATAAGAATGATAGCGTTTGAATTCAAAACAATATAGGCAATTTTCCAATGTGCATAACTTACACTCTCTAGAATATGATGCATAATATGGTGGTAAACATGATGCATAAGTAAAAGTT